ATATGTGCTAGTCGTTTCTGGATCTAGGGGGTGGTGCTCATCTCCGTTACAAAGCCGAAGAGCCAGCACTGTCCGAAGACGTCTCCGTGGTCATGTGGCCGGCATGACTAAACATCGAAGGTGCACGGAGCGCTGTTACCTTCTCACCAGAGTGGTCCCTATTTTTCTACTTGAATTTTTACATGCTTTCAAACTGCTAGGTTGGCAGAAGCTGGGACAAGTAATGGGAGCTCACTCCATTACGTGGTGCTAGGGATTTGAACTACCAAACTGCCAACCTTTTTAATCGACAAGCTCAGCATCTTAGCCACCGCGTCCCTTATCCGAATTATAAAAAAAGAAGAAATATGGTGTGGAGGAAGGGAATCACTTAGGGAAGCCATAGCTTTCCCTGAACACTTTCTCCTTCATTCTGATGCAATGCAGAGAGTGGAAGAGGTAAACAAAAAACAAAAAATCCTCAAATGAAATGTTAAAAAAAAACTCCTAAAAATGAAATGTTCATTCTACTGCTTACTTTCTAAAATGAGAGATGATTGGGCTCAAGGTAAGAAATGTTTTGAAATTGGAGATAAGAGCTGCACAGTATGCTGGTACCAATAGGCTTAACCCAAAGGTTCAGGTGGTCGTTTGCAATCTGCCTGTTTTTCGATGTGGGGAAAGAAGGTACACTATAAGTGCATGTATTTTGAACAGATTTAGCCATTAAGAAAAGTCTTCTGGGCAGTTATGATGGAAATAACAAGCAGAGAACACATCCTCTGAATACATTTCTCCAAGATTTATCTATTCCACTTATTTAGTTTTGTTTTTGGATTGAGGGTTGACTCTGGGCTATGTCCCCCCCCCCACAGAGGACCAACTGTTGCTGAGAAGAAGACTACAACTGGGTGCTAAGGATGGGCAGAGAGGCAAGCCGCTGTGGGATTCTGCTGCTGAATAATCTTGCTGCTAGTGCCTCCCACTGATGGATGCCTTTGCCTCTCTCTACCTGGTTCCTACTGAATTACTGGCTTACTCATTTGTGAGACACTGGAACTTTGGAGATGTGGACAGTGGAAGGGTAAGGGAGAGTGATAAAAGAGCGGCAGGCTACTGTGGATTCCCTTCCCCTGTGGAGGCCACCTTTGACAAATAGCTGGAAGCTTCATCCACTAGAGAATGTAGCACCATGTGCAGTGATGTGTTACCTCTGCTCTGCTAGCTGGATTGGTTGCTGGTTTGCTTCCTGGACTGATTTAAGCTGCTGGTTTTCATCTTTAAATTCTTCATGGAATGGAGCAGATTATCTGATGGGCTGTCCCTCCCTGATTACATCATTTGATCTGGCAGAGAAATTCTGCATATACCACCTGCTAGGAAATTACAGTATATTTGGTGGATAGCAAGAGGAAAGTTTTTCTAACATGGCAGAAAAGAACATTAGGTTAGCTCCCTCCCTCTGGATGTTCTGGAATTCCCTCAAGATGTGGTTATGCCATCAAGCCCCTGGGAATCTGGAGACTTGTTTAGATGGCTCCACTTATTAAGGTGGATGCACGTATTCACTCTCTCTCTGTCCTCCCTAATTTGTTTAAAGTTGCCTAAAACAATAAATGTATATGTATTTTTGAGAACTTCCGGTTGCAAGGCTTCGGCGGCGGCAGGAATCCGCTTCTCTGCGGGTCCCTGCTGCGCTCGCCGCTGAGGTACCCCCGATCCAACTGGATTTGGGGGTTGTCGCTGCCCCAAAGGGGCAGAGGAAGATAGAGGAGATCCGGGCAGGGGTCTGGGGATATCGCACCCCCTTTCCCCAGCCGGCTAGACTCCTTTTTCCTGAGGCGGTGGAGCGGCTGTCAGAAATGGCAGCCACAAAGGAATCTTCAACCGGATAAGACTGTGCAGGAGGAAGAACCAAGAAGGAGAAGTTTTCTTGGCTGAACTGGGACATTAAGTTACTTTTAAAATACCCTGGAAACCTGACTTTCAGATTGATACATTTGTTTCCAAAAGAAGTTGTTACAGCGGCAAAAGTGCTGAAGGAAAGTTCACTCCTCTTCCTTACGGAGAAAGCAAATGAGCACAGAAAAACCTGCTTCTTTAAGGTAAAAATAAGCTCTTTGTTATAAGTGGGAAGGAGAGGACTAAAAAAAAATCTTTAAAAATTTGTTGGAGGAGATGCCTTGAAGATTATAAGACCAGCAACTAACTGTAATACGGCTTTAAAATATATTTGGGATTTTGCCCCAGGAGGAAAAGTTGCAAAGAGAAGAAGAGGAAATAATTTCTGTCTGTTTGGATTGTTTGGTAACTTTGACATTTGCAAATTACTTTAAGATTAAAAACATCTAGGTTGTTCTTAAAAATTTACAATGGCACCATCTGTGGATGAACTAAAAATGGAATATGAAAAATTAAAAGAAAGAGAACAAAATGGCAAGGATTCATTGGGAGCTGTCTTCCACTTTTTAGAAATGGCGGTTTCTACGTACCAGCAAATACTTGAGGAAGAAGGAGAAGGAGAAGAAGAAGAAGAAAAGGAAGAAGCCATTTTTAATGGACAAAAAAGTTCGATTAAGAAAGAAAATAGGAAGAGAGGAAGGAAAAATGAGAATTTAAACAACCAAGAAAAAGAAAAATAAGGTGAAAAAAAGGTACAATGTTAGAAAGCAATTGAAAAGAGAATTACAACAGAGAGGGGAAGCTAAAAAGGTGGAGGTTAGGAGAGGGGAGGGCAAAAAGACCAGACTGGAGAAGAAAGGGAGGGAAAAAGGGAAAAAAAGCCACGGTTTGAAACAAGATATTTTTTTTAGAGATAAAGGATAAAGGATAGTGTATAATTAAAGAAAGATTCTGCAAGAGTACATAAGATAGTATTGTAGTATTTGCATTTGAAATAGTCTATTGGAATATTATAAGATTTAACAAAATATTAAAATGTTTAATAATGATAGATTTCAATATTTAATAAAATATTAAAGAGAATGTGTAAAATGATTAATGCTTAGTTATACTATTAATTAGAATTAGAACTAGAATGGAAATTATATACTTAACTATATTATAAGTTTATTATTCTTTTATTTTAAAATGCAACATGTAGAATGTACTAAGCAGAATCAGGATGGAAATTATGTATTATTGTAAGTGTTACTTTAGGGAAAGGCGTCACACCTTAAAAGTGATTACAGGGGAAATTCTTTGCTAAAGAGAAGAGATAAATAGATGATTGGAAAAGAACGGACAAAAGATACAAACATAATGATTTTGAAATAAGATGAAATAAACAAAATATAATTAAGAGAGTGAAAAGAAGGGAGAAGTTATATAGAAAATATAGAATGGTTAATAAGATATGAATGGTATATAAGGTGAGCATGAATTTGATTTAGGTCTGTAAAAAAAGATGTAACCCGGGGCTAAGCCACTTTTCAAAAGAAGTTTTATGTTTTATGTTTTGGTTAGCTATGTTTTGATTGTGAATTAATAAAACCTTAGAGGAATAAAACTAAAGGGAGAGAAATTTGGAAAAGACATGTATAAATGATAATTAAGGAGGTTTTATCTTTTTATGTCTTGTTTTATATTTTGTATTTTGTGTGTTTATGTTTGATTGAGAATTAATAAAACCTTGATAGAAAGAAATATAATTGAATACAAGTGAAGGGAGAAACAATGAGAAATTTGGAAAAGATATATATGTGTTTAAATGGAAATGTGATAATGTGGAACTATGCCTTAAAAAATAATGTTTTATTTGCCTTGTTAAAACTTATAAGTAATTTTTAGAAAGGAGGTTTTATACTTTGATGTCTTATGTTTTGTTTGTCTTTAAAAAATCAATAAAACTTGTTTTTTTTTAAAAAAAATGTATATGTATTTTTAATGTACTTAGTATATGCCACCCAGAGTCAGTCAGGTGGTACCTGACTGAGTAGCAATAAATGCAAGAGGGATCTTGCAAACCTAGTGGACAATCACTTAAATATGAACCAGCAGTGTGCTGCACCTGCCAAAAAAGCCAACACAGTGTAGGCTGCATTTTTCAGAGGGATAGAATCAAGTTCATGTAAAGTGTTAATTCCAAATTGTAATCCCTTGATAAGGCCACACTTGGAATATTACATTCACCATGATGTAAAAAAGATGTTGAGACTCTAGAAAGAGTACAGAGAAGAGCAACAAAATGATTAGAGGACTGGAGGCTAAAACATTTAAAGAATGTTTGCAGGAATTGGGTATGTCTAATTTAATGAAAAAAAAGGGCTTGGGATGACATAATAGCAGTGTTCCAATATCTGAGGGGCTGCCACAAAGAAAGGGTCAACCGGTTATCCAAATCACCTGAAGGTATGACAAAAAGCAATGGGTGGAAACTAGTCAAGGAGAGAAGCAACCTAGAACTAAAGAGAAATTTTCTGACAGAACAATTAATTAGTGAAACAACTTGCCTGCAGAAGTTGTGGATGTTCCAACACTGAAAAGTTTTAAGAAGAAATTGTACAAACATTTGTCTGAAATGATACAGGGTTTCCTGCTGGGAAGGAGGATGGACTAGAAGATTTCCTTCCAACTCTATTATTCTGTTATTCTGTTATTTCTCATGAGATTGGCTATATGTATTTATTTATTTATTTAAATTTATTTGCTACCCATCTCACCACAAGGTGACTTTTGATTATTTTATTAATTTTATTAACATTTTTTACCCAACACTTATTTATTCCTATATTATTTTAAAAATCCAGCTTCAAGTCCAGGGGTGGGATTCTACCAGTTCTGACCAGTTCTATAGAACCCTGTGTTAACTTTCTAAGCAGTTTGAAGAACCGGTAGTTAGAAGAAATCTCCTTTTGTTTGTTTCCATCCTTATTACATTCTTGGCAGTATGGTATGCCTAGACGTACTGTCTCCGAAGGACATTTTTTTCCTTTCCTGATACTTTCATAAAGGGGAAGGGTTGTTTTAAGCTTTTTACACTGCTATTGGGAGGAAATTCTCCCCTGGAAATACTTCCAGCCAGCACTTTGAAGAAATAATTTAATAACAAAGCAGAGCTCGAAACGAAGTTTTTTAATGACAAGGAACTAAGATGAGTGACATTCGGCAAGGCTTCTTGGTTAGCTAGAAAGACTGACATTCAAACGTGAGTTTCTGAGTTTTGGTCTAAAACTGGTTTTTGGTGAAGTTTAATTCTGTCCTTGGTGACATTTAATCCTGTATTTATGATGGGATAATTTTCCCTATTCAGCTTTGTTTGGAAGGAAAAAGATTAATCTCTGTTCCTGAAAAGAAACTGGGTTGAGAAATTTGGCTGGTTCCTGAGTCTATTTGTTCTGGTAATTGGCTTAACAAGCAACAACTACTGCTGTGATTTAATTATTTGTATTGTGTTTGATTTTTTTCCTGCCTCATGGTTTCTTTTTCTATCTGGGGAGGGGGTCTTCCTTTACTGCTTTAGTGGTATCTGGCACTGTCCTTTTGGGCTGTACTTCCAAGAGGCAGGATTCAAGCTTGACACTGATTTTTTTTTACTTCCTTTCTGGGAGGCATATGACCTTTCCTTAAATTTGGATGATTTCCTTAGGATATCTTGTGAGGTGAGTGAGACCAGCTGGTATCTTTAAGTGGTGCAAATGGATCTAAGGATTGCTTTTCCTGGGTGTGCTCTTTCTGGAGAGCTAAAATGACCTCTCTGCTAAAGGGTTTCATTTTATGAGCAAGAGTTGGCTGCTGATAGTTATTGCATTTTAACTATTTTAATTCCTCAAGGGGCTCTGGCACCCTGCCTGATTTGTAACTCCAGCCTGCAGGTATTTTTAATATAATGATTGGTATTTAGGGCAGCTTTTTGCAAGCAAAGAAGCTTTTTGTATTTTTGTACAGGTAATGCTTGATTTACAACAGTTCATTTAGTGATCATTCAAAGTTACAATGGCACTGAAAAAAGTGACTTGTGACCATTTTTCACACTTACGATTGTTGCAGCATCCCCACTGTCATGAGAGGCCAGGTGAGGAGAAGTGCCCCTTGACGTGAGTGACATCGAGTTGACCACGCCCACCCAGTCACATGAGCACCAAGCCACACCTACAAACTAAGCCATGACCACAGAAATTTGAATCCCACCCCTATTTAAGTCCATTCTTTCTCATGAGCAAAGTGAATATCTGCTAAACTGACACATACAACTAATATCTCTCTGACAGTTTGAGCCTATTATCTATAATTTGTTCTTGTTTTTGTAACAGGTTTTCTTCCCCAAATTTGCAAACCATGTGCATATATGAAAAAATAATTTTAATTCCCCTAGAATTTCAGAACTGATCAGGCTATGGATGTAGAACCCTTTGCAATTACGAAGGAATAATTATCAAGTAGTATGTAATTACCAAATATACAAATATTAGCAAGAACAGTGTGAAAAAAATGTAGTCAGTTATAATATTTTAACACACACAGTATAATCAACGTAAGCATGAAGCTATTATATTAATCTGGAAAAACAAAAAACCGACATGAAATTTACACAAACACACACACACGTATGTGTGTGTGTATATAATTTCTGCAAAAAATTAAATGTAAAAAAGGAGTTAAAAAAGAAAAAAATAGGGAAGGAGAAAGGGAAAACAAGTGAGGAAAAAAAGAAAAGAAATAGAAAAAAAGTAACTGAAACTTTCTTTGATAGAGTTGCAAACATAAAATAACCCTAACCAACATGGAATTTCCATTGGAATTATGCATTTAAATTGACAAAATTTTAAAACAGGACAAGATAACATGGCTATATTTTTGTTTGTTTGTCTGTGATAGAATAGATTAGTCTAAATTTATTTAAATTTTAATTTGGGGCTTCCTCAAAGTTTTAGTCTTTTTTCTCTAAAGCTAAGAGTTGCTCATAGCAATCACATGTGGGTGTGTTTGGGAGAGAAGTTACACCACTTAATAAAAAGGAATTATAATCAATGATTAATAGCTCAGACTGAGATGATCCTTGTGATCATGTCACCATCAGTTCCATCCTAAATCACAGTGTTTTATGAATTGGATAAATTGTATGATTGCTAGATCTACTATACAACTATGCTTCTTCACTACCAGTTTTTGAGTTGCTGTAGTAAATTAAGGATTGGCAAGTTATTTACTTTATGAGAAGAGAAAAAACTCAGATAAGTTTATAATTTATTTTTATACTTGATGGCAGTCCTCCATGTCATAGTTTCTCCGTTCTTTATTTCACCCATAGGAAAAAATCTCTCAACCCCCTTGAGGTTTCGCAAAGACATATACCTTCAGTTATTATTGCTGCAAATTTCAGCACATGTTTTCTTTAAACAAACATGTTATGAGACCTATGGTGACACAATGGTTAGAATGCAGTATGGCAGCTAACTCTACCAACTACCAGTTCGATCCTGACTGGCTCAAGGTTGACTCAGCTTTCCATCCTTCCAAGGTCAATAAAATGAGAACCCAGATTGTTGGGGGCAATATGCTGACATTGTAAGCCATTCAGAGTGCTGTAAAGCACTACAAAGTAGTATATAAGTTTAAGTGCCATTGCTATTGTTATCATAGCTACTTCTTTTAAATAATTAAATAAATGTTGCCCTGTTGTTTAGTTGGTAAGTTGTGTTTGACTCTTCATGATCCCATGGATCATAACATGCCAGACTCCCCTGTCTTCTCTTGTCTCCTGAAGTTCACTCAAATTCATGTTCAGTATTTACGTTTTAGCACTAGCGCCAATTATATTGGACTTCTCCAGACATTCTCAGAAATCAGATGTGATTGAATGGAAGAAAAACAACATGAAAACTGGCATGCTTGATCTATTCATAAAATACTGCTTATCTCCATCTATCCATCATCCATCCATCACCTGCATATCACCCCGTTTTGTTGGATGGGGGAAAAGTTAACACATATTTTTACCAGTGCTAAATTATAGGAAACCAGAACTTTTTCTAAATCTTATTTTAGATCTCAGCCTTGAGTCATAGTAGGATTACCTTTGGAGTTACCTGGACTAGGATGAGAATTTTCTAGGCCTTTGGATTGAGGTCCTGAACTGGATTTTTCCCAATAGTTTAGTCCTACAAATACATACTTCAGAGTAAACTCCAGAGAATTTTAAAAACCCCTAAACCCAAGTAAAATAAATATAGAAATTCATTCTAAATCTGAATTATAGAGATTTTTGTTTTATTAAGACTAAAACAGTTGTTGTTCATTCATATACAGGAAGTTGGTTATAAGAAAAAATGTTTTCAAGTGTACAAATCCATCATATAATTTCTTAATGCAAGTGAAATAAGATTTGGAGACTAATCCTTAAAATAAATTGTGTCTTACTCACTTTTTACTTGGTACCCTCCCCCAAAAGAAGGAGGCTACCCAGCTAAACAAAAGACCTGAAATATCAGCTGTGGTATTAATTTACATCTGCAGCATGTTAGCTGATAGCCAGACACCTGCAATCAGAAGTCCAAATATGGCATTGCCATACTATATCATCAGGTAGATTAGATACTGGAGTCAATGTATGAAGCAACAAGACACAAGCTATTGTACAGATGACCAGCAAAATTACAGTGTAAGAATCTCCTAATCTCACTGCAGGCATTTTAATTCTGTTCAAGTATAGAACTGCTTTTGTACCAAAATAATTGGTTATACCTCTTCTTTCCTACTGGACCTACCAATATATGAGAACCCAATCTGTTGTGGCTCCGATTGCCGAGCCTGTGCTGTTAGAGAAAAAGGACATGGAAGATGAGGAGGAGGAACTGGGAATGCCTTCCTCCCCAGGACCTTCCTTTCTGGCAATGCCTTCCTCCCTGATGATGCCTCAGGTTTCAGCAGACAACCGAGAGGAACAGCCTGAGATTAATCAGGAGGAAGGCATATTGGAGCAATCCCTGACAGGGAGTCAAGAGGAAGAATGTTGGCTTGATCCTAGGCAGCATCGTAGGGAGAAATGTGAGCAGCAACGTAGGAGGCGTGGGAAGGTCAGAGAGTGAGCTGAGTCATTGAGCCAAACCCCACAGGGGATAAAAGTGGGTGTGTTGTTGGCTGGAACTTTGTACGGGACAAAGTTTAATCTTACTTCAGGTTTTTCGTTGTGAATGATTCTTGTGGTCTGCCTTGCAATTCTCTGTAAGTAGCTTTTTACTTGTTATCAATTCGGACTTGTAAGGCAGAGCATGTTGGAATGCCAAGGACATTATCAGTTCCAAAGACTTAACTCTGTGAAGTCCGAGTCAGCTTGCCTGCCTGTGTTTGTGTGAGTTTGTACTCTTTCATCTTTTGAGAAAGAAGAAAGGTGAGACAGAACAGGCATAGTACAAGATTGAAGGATTTGGGGCAGATCCCTGATTTCCAGCAAACCAGCACTAAAAGCCAATTAACTTGAAATTGCACTATATTTTACCCATCAACAATGGATTAAAAGAGATGGCAAGCAGGCTGCTTCAGCAAAAGAAAGATTCAGAGTATCTATTTCATAACAGAAAAGTTTTTGTTCTTTATCACAGACAATACTTACATGGGAAAACAATAATTGCACTTAGACCAGGATTTCACCACTTGCTCTCAAAAAATAAGCAGATGTGTCTTGAAGAGTACCTTCTCAAAGGATATTGAACCCAATTCTTCTGGGACTTGAAATACAGGCATAGATAATTACTTGAAACTTCTAGCAGAAATATGGCTGTTTTCTGTGTAATTGTGGTCTATTTTTTTTCAGGAGATCAGCTCTTATTTTTCTGTCATTTTCTAAAAATGAAAATTAGGAAAGCTAAGGGGAAATATCATACAATATTAGGCTTGTTCAATGGCTTGTATTGGGGGTGAAATGAACAACCAGGGACAATATTTCACAGGAAGTCTGTGGACCAGGAAGCTATTAAATTTGTGGACTTACACTTGTTAGAAGGAGATCTGGTTCTTTTTGAGCTAGGATAAGAAAAAGAATGTAGAAAGCAGGCAGTTACTTGAAGCAAAGATATAATTTAGTTCCAGAATACAGACAGGTCTATGACAATTTGCCATGGTTACCTCTCCATGGACCATTTACCACAGCTAACTGACTGCAGGACAACTCGCCATGGCCAATTCACTGTGGAACAACTTATGCAGAACCAGAGTTACATCAATATCAAAGAAATCTTGAAATAGAATCATTAAGGAAAGGATGCAAAAGAAGGGACAAAATGAAATGTGAATGACAACAATTAAAATAATGTTCAATTACATTAAATACTTAAATTGTGAAATTGTCCCATGGTGAGTTGTCCTGTGGAAACTTGGCCATTGTGGGTTGTACCGCAGCAAGTTGGCTGTGGTGAATTGTCCTATTCCGTTACAGACAGAGGTACCAAGTCAGCAATCAGAGATGGACACTCTCAGCCGTCCCTTGCAAACTCTTTATATAGGAAAATCTTTGCCTTTGTTCTCTGAAAAGCTCAGTCCTTCAGAATTCTTAGAAAGTATAAATGAACAGTTTCCCTGCCCAATTAGTATTATGGGTTGAAATGGCAGTGTCAAGGAGAAGAGGATCCTTTGTTTATTAATGGGTGAAATCTCTGGCACCTTGAAACGAATGTTTACCTGAATGGGCTGCCGCCTTTGATCAGTTCCAACCTCTTTGTCAAGTTTATTGCCTTTCTTTCAAATGTAATTCCTAACCTTTTGCCCTGGAAATGGCTAGGAGGTTTGAATGAGAGAAACAGAGGGAAGATTGAATGGAAGGGAGAGTTTGATTTCCTTCCAACACATCTTAAGCAAAATGTCTGAAGGTTTTTGGTTTTTTTTAAAAAAAAGAGCATTAAGAAAATACATCATAAAAATAGAAGACATTGCAACAAAAGAAAGCTAAAATAAAATAATCTGGATCTTTTAAAAAAAATCAAGTCAGGAAATGTTACCAACAGGATTCAAATATAGAAAAAAAAGAGTCCTGTGTGAAAACACAATCCTTATATGACACTGTTGCCAGAGGGTCATTGACAAGCCTTTATTCTGGGAAACAGGCATTTCCAGCAAAAAGAGACCAACAATAGACAAGACTTCAAAGTAACCCAGCCGATACACAAAGAATTACACCAGAAAAGGTAAAAAAAGATCTGCACTCAATTGCGGTTCACCAGAAGGAGGAACTATTACAAAGAGAAAAACAGAATCACACCTAAACAACACAACCAGCAGAAAGACTTCCAAAATACTTTGCAAAGAATGTAGATGCATTTCTGAATTGTGCTACTCTTTCCTCTTTAAGCTAGTAGTCCGTTCAAAGCTATTTTATCTGCTTTGTAGATACAGAAACCTTAATTGGTCATCGACAAAATTAAACAACTGTGTGATTGCTGTTAAACAGATGTTAGGATTTAATTTCCATTTTGTTTGTAATAAAGACTGACAAACCAACCTTTACTTCCAACCAGGGTGAGATTCTACCAGTTCGTACTTATTTGCTAGAACCGGTTGTTAACATTCTAAGCAGTTTGGAGAACCAGTTGTTAGAAGAAATTACTGGCCTAATCCTGTAAGGAAGGCAGGAAGGAAACATTCTGGTGTTGCTTACAGAAACTGCCTCTCTGTTAACCCTTATTACATTCTTGGCAGGACTAGATTTCCTGCTCAGGAACTTCTCTGGAGTTTTTCCCCCCTCCTTTGCTGGTACTTTGCTTGTGTGGAGTGACCATTCAAAGTTACAATGGCACTGAAAAAAGTGACTTATGACCATTTTTCATACTTACGACTGTTGCAGCATCCCCACAATCATGAGAGGCCAGGCGAGGAGATATGTGCCTCGATGTGAGTGATGTTGAGTTGGCCACGCCCATCCAGACCATCCAGACCATCAAGCCACGCCCAACAACTAAGCCACGCCCACAGAACCAGTTGTTAAAAATTTGAATCCTACCCCTGCTTCCAACCCCAATCAGGAAATAGTGTGTCTTTTACGGGGCTCAGCCACAGGTAAAACCAAACTTTGAGGCCATCGTATTTCCTAAAGCTGACTTCTCAATATTTAAATGTGAAAATGAGGATGACCCAAAGGTGAATAAGTCTGACCTGAGACTCCATCACAAGATATATTGGATAAATCTGTTCCCCACCCACAGATTCTGAACCCCCAGATTCTGAAGCAAGCATGAAACTTCAGCTCCAGCCAGCTTCATCATAGCTAGTATTCTAGTCTTGTAGGCTACCTTTGTTTTTATTATTTTGTTAGCTATTCTATTTGAGGAGCACAGGAGAATATTGAGTATTCAGAGGTACAGAATAACAGAGATGAAAGGGACCTTGTAGGTCATATAGTACAGCCCCCTGTTCAAGCAGGAGACCCCATAACATTTCTGGCAGATGGCTGTCCAATCTCTTATTGAAAACTTCCATTAATAAAGCACCCACAACGTCTGAAGGCAAGCTGTTACATTGGTTGATTGTTCTCATTGTCAGAAAAATTGTCCTTATTCTAGATTGAATCTCTCCTTGATCAGTTTCCATCCAATGATCCTTGTCTGGCCTTCCTCTCCTCTCTATGACAGCCCCTCAAATATTAGAACACTGATATGTCACCCCTGGTCCTTCTCTTCACTAGACTAGCTATGCTCAGTTCCTGCAACTATTCTTCATATGTTTTAGTCTCCAGGCCCCAAATCATGTTTGTTGCTCTTCTCTGCACTTTTTCCAGAATCCCAACATATTTTTATAGTGTGGTGACCAAAACTGGATGCAGTACTCTAGGTGTAGTCTTACTAAGGCTTTTTAAAGTGGTATTAATACCTCAAGTGATCTTGATTCAATCCCTCTGTTAATGTTGATGAATATTCATTGAAGAAGTCTTGAGTCTCTGTTCCTGTTTTTTCTCTAATAAGTCCAGGACTCTTCCCTTACATTTTAGAGTACACCAGTGGTGGTATTCGACCGGTTCTGCCCGGTTCTAGCAAGCCAGTAGGAGTGATGAGGAGTGGATACCGAAACAGTTCTCTCCGCCACTCTGCTGTTGGGCCCACCTGCCTGCCCAGGCTCCCATACTCACTTTTATCTGCTGAATTTGAAGCACAGCTGCTTTGCGCGGCACTGCACAAAGTGCACATTTGGCATGTGTCTGCATGCAAACTGTGTGCATGCGTACAAAGCGCGTCCACCAAGCCACGCCCACTGAACCGGTGGCAACAATATTTGAATCCCACCACTGACCTAGTCCCTTGCTACATATAGCTCTTCTATTTGAGCAAATATAGTTGGTTGAATAATATGTGTGCTGGTTGTGTGTGAGGGAGTGAAGTTGGGGTTGCAGTCTACACCCAGAGTCATTTGTTAAGACAAAAGTCTATAGCAATGAAATAAATAAAAATAAATAAAAGCAGCTGCAGTCAGGCAGAAATGCTTCCCATACCCTCTTCCTTCATGCATTCATACATTAACTTACAACTGTACTTGAAAAGTATCCAAGCTGATGTTGCAGATATATGTGTAAATTAAGTCACACCCAGGCATTTTCATGGATATATGGACATAGAGCAACAGCCTCAGTCCATGCAGGCCTTTTATTTACAAAAGCAAAGATAGAATGGGAAAAGGGGTGTAGGATGAAATGTGATAAACAAATGACATGCAGATGGGGAAGCAGATGTGATGTCTAGAGACTGGCAGCTATTGCAAGCAAGCAAGAAGACTAGTGTTCAACTACCAGGACCCCAAGCTAAAGTGAGCAGGATATCCTGGTGGGATATCCTGGTGGGAACTTTGTCAGGAACTTGGTAGCCATTAGAAAAGGAACACCCATACTGAGGAGGCACTTCATCCAATTTGTGCAATAACTTTTGGGAAAAGTCAAAGATTGTATACTACCTCATGGATTTTGAGACATGTTGAACTCTGTATTAAAAGACTGAGTATGAAAGATTGGGTATTAAAGGCATATTTATGTGGCAACATCACCTTGCAAAATCATGAAGGTTGGAGTTGACCCAAAGCTTCAATGGGTGGAATTGAACAGGAATAGCCTGTGGGTTGGGGTAGATGTATGCTGCAATAAAGCTATGCTGTGAGGTTTCCTGTTTCTTGAACAGAAAAAAAAAACCTTCACTGGTTGCATGCCTAAAGAAATGGTACTCAGCTATGTTAATCTTGGGAGTTTTAAGTCAATATGAACTTAGCTGTTGTCTTGACTATACTTTGCCTTTTTATTTTTACCTCTGTTTGTATTTAAGCAATGCCAAGAGGTCAGTTCCACATGACCTCTTCTTGTACTATACTTTGCATATTTTGGTTGCAATGATTGGGAAACTGATGCTGACTCTGTCAGACACTAATGTAATCACTGGCTTCATTTGTTAAACTTTCCAAGGACCAGCTGTGAAGTGTTAATTGGGAAATCATTATCCCTGGACACCTGCAATGGTAATTGCCAGGCACTGGCCCTTTCAGGTGTCGAGCAAAAATCAAAAGGCAGGTTTCTGCAACAAGAAATATTTGGTTGCAGTTCTGAGGAAATAAAACCTTAAATGCAAGTATTTAGAAATGTATTGTTTATCATGTAGAGCATGGGATCCTGGACACCTAGCGATGTAGCCCCACAAGACCATAAACATTTAACATTTTTATAGCAATAATAATAATAGTATTTAAACTTATATACTGCTTCATAGTGCTTTACAGCCCGCTCTGAGAAGTGCCTCCCTTCTAAGTTTGCATGACCTGTGAGATCAAATTGCCTGAGAACATGTTACTTTCTCAAGATCAGTCAACTAACTTTGTGCCTGGATGGGATCCAGTAAAGCTGGATCTCCCCATTGTAAGCAACAATAGCACTTAGACTTATATACCACTTCACAGTACTTTTACAGCCCTTTCTAAGCGGTTCATAGAGTCAGCATATTGCCCCCAACAATCTGGGGCCTCATTTTACTGACTTCGGAAGGATGGAAGGTTGCGTCAACCTTGAGCTGGTCAGGATTGAAATCCTGGAGTAAGCAGTGAGTTAGCCTTGCAGAACTGCATTCTAACCATTGCACCACCATGCATCAAGATTGCATCAAGGAGAAAAGAAGGAGAAAATTTCATTACAACTACAGCAGCTTTGGAGATTGCATCAAGATGGTGTAAGGCTGAGTCAACCTTAAGCAGGTGAGATCCAAACTGCTGACAGTCAGCAGAATTAGCCTGCAATACTGCATTCTAACCATTGCGCCACCACGGCTCCTAAAATTATGTGATTTTAATATTTATATATGTTATTGAGTTTAGTGATATTTATACGTGTTAACTATATTGTATGTTTTATATGTGGCCTAAGACCCCTTCTCTCACTGTGGACCAGGCAAACCAAAAGGTTGGACACCCATGATGTAGAGCTAGGAGAAAGGGATAGGAATTAGGGAACTGAGTCCCATACATACTTAAACACACCTACTCAAGCTACTCATTTGTATGGCATGGTAAATGGTGCCACAAACTATCTGAGATTGTGGAATAACATTTGCTTAATGCTCTATACCATCCTTCATACTGTTGTTAACTGTGCTTGGTATATGTGAGTTCTATTTGTGTTGTGTTTCTTTTTCACTAAACCTCTCTCTTTCGTGGTGAACCCATACTATCATTTCATCAGGCAACAGGATAGAGAAGGAGAAAATTTCATTACAACTACAGCAGCTTTGGAGATGAACTGTAGATGACTCTCATTTACCCTCCTACCCTGTTTTCAACTGAGATGAGTTTAGAAATGGGAGCATTTAGAGATTTCGCTTAAGAGTAATGGCATGCCAAATAATAGAAACAATCAGTTATTGCCAATCTCACTTATAGGAGATTGTATTTTCTATCAGCCCAAGCGTTTGTCCTCAGCTCATTTGTTATTAGGGTGTTGTCTGATTTTCCATTTCAATAGCAGTGAAGAGAAGTTCATGAACGCTGGACGTTTAAGTCCCTGGAGGTCTACATCTATCAAAGAAAGAACGTACAGTAGTTCTTGGGTAAGTTACAGAGTCTTATAGTACCAGATGTCTGCTCAAACTAAAAGATTAACAGGGCAATCAGGCTCATGCACAAAAAACACCCCCCTATGTCTCTTACACATTCCTAACCAAAAAAACCTCCACATCCCTTCCATAGGTATCTGCGGACTACCAAGATCACATTGTGATACAAACCTCAACCTTATGACATCTGATGTAGGCACAACAGTTTTTGCATCCTGAGATCAGGTTGTCTGTTTTGATCCTTTTCACCCTTCCCCATAAGCTCCTGTGATCCTTTACTTAGAGATTTATTTCTCTCTTCAGGATTCCACTTGTATTTAGTGAACAAGACCTAACATGGCATACAATAGAAACAGATAATGTAAACAAAAGTAACAAAACAATCATACAATTAATACCAACTATTAATAAGAATAGAGATAAAAATGACAACCTTTCTGGAGAAGGGGATGATCATCATTCAGTCAGTATATTCATGGAAAAGTTATCTTGCATAATCTGTAAAAGTGAACCCTAGAAACTCTGTGACAAACTTGCAGGGAATCAGTGTTTTGTTTACCTCTGATTAATCCTTGTATTGAAAAGGGAAAGACTCACCACTGGAGCATGACCTAGAAGAACCAACCAAAGCCTGTAACAATGTTCCTGACTATGAGGAAAACTACTGAAAGCAGTTTTGGGCTCAGGGACTACAAACTGGTACATTAAATCATATCCCTATATGTCACAGTGTTCTACTACTTTTCTTCAACTGTTTGCAAATGCAGTTCTGGTTGTGACTTCACAAAGATTTATCATATTAATTAACTATTAAGTCTGTTCCTAGCATGATATCAGATTACCAGAGACTATCAAGGGATCCTTATCTATCCCAAAGTCTCTGGGAATTGGGCAGTGTACAAATTAAATACATTTGTTTGTAGTCATTCTTGGTTATGATGTCACATGCTTCAGTAGGCCCTCTAGATCATCTTTTTCTTTTCTTTTCTTTTGAAAAAAAATAATTCTATGTGGCTACTTGAAGTTGACAAAGTTGGTTTTTGTGACATTTCTGGCTAGCAACTCCTCTTTTATTGTAAACTTGTGTTCTCTTCTTCTCTGTAATTCTTTCTCAGTACATTACAGTCTCTGAGATAAGCCTAAATAGTTACCTCTCTGTGAAGTCACAACCAGAACAGCCCTTTGCAAACAGTAGGAGAAAAGCAGTAGAACATAGTGACATGTAGGAATGTGATTTAATGCACCAGTTTAAATCAAAATCATATCAATCTTTATTATGCTAATAGAGCAGCATAACTGATCATTCTTCTTCTTCATGTCTCCTTTATTTTCATTGTCCCATTGATCTGTTATGTTTTTTGTCTGGAGAAGCAGGACATGAAGAAAAATACCTATACTACCTGCTTTCTGTTCTGAAGCAACACCAAACAGTTTATGGACGTTTGCACTCATTAACATTGCCAAGGAAAAAACAGCAGCATGGACATAAATGTAAGAGGTGAGAGAAGAAGAATGTAACATCAACAGCATTCTTTGGCTTGCAAGTTAAGCACTCTTTCAAAAGTGTTTATGAGGCCCTGCTGTTGAATGGCAGAGTTAGGGTGTGTACTGCACTCCTGGTATAAAGGAACTGCGGTGCTCCAATACTCTAGATAAACATCCTTTTAGAAACTAATATAAACCTTTGGGGAAAATAAAGGATAGGAATATGTGAGTACCTTGCATTCATTCTAAAATAAAAGATTTTATTGGACTTGTTTTATTCTTTTTATTTCTTCCTCCCAAACCCAACCCAACCCAAAGATAACATTAGCAGTATTTTTTTAAGGGTAGAAAAGCAGCATGGGTAGTAAAACATGAGAAAGAAGCCATAGTGGAGGGAACATTTTCTTCTCTTTTTTTGTCTCTAAATGTTTTCTAAGCCTTCACATCCATAATTGCATAGCTAACACCATGTGCAATATACACATATATATACACATACACATACATACATACATACATACATACATACATACATACATACATACAT